AGAGAGAGAGAGAGAGAGAGAGAGAGAGAGAGAGAGAGAGAGAGAGAGAGAGAGAGAGACATTCAGAGAGAGAGACAGAGAACAGCCTGAGGGAAGTGTAGGAAAGAGGAGTGAGAGACATACCTATTGAGAGTGTTGGCAGCAATAACCGCGTGAGCGTGCAAACAAGAGACCTTCGTATAAGACTCAAATTTGCCAGCAACTTCCGAAGTGCTCTCATATCGTGTTGTTGTGCATCTTGCGCATGAAGATTTGTGTGATGAAGTGTTCACTTGTGTTAAGGGACATCGATGTGAACTCATGGGATCAATGCAACTTCATTTTCTGCTTTTTTTTTCCTTTTCCTTTTTTTTTGGTCACTTTTTGAGTTTGAACTTTGACACAATGTGGTTTTACTTTTCTCCTCCTTTCAATTCCTGTCTTGTGGTGATAGTACAGGGGTATCGACGTGGAAACGTTCATCCCTGTCATCTTTGCTCCTCTGAAGACAGCAGAAGAGTGGACAACGGCAGTGCTTGAGCAGGCCAAAGAGCTGCCATTGGGCGACAACTATGATACACGACGGACAGATTATCTTGAGTTCCTGCAGTTTATTTGCCCACTTTACGGATGCACGTGGTTTCATGTTCGTGTACGTACGACTGAGTACTGCTAAGTCCTACTAAGTACTACTAAGTACTACTAAGTATGTAGTACTGTGTACTAAGTAACTGGGAAAAAAAGAAAGTGGCACCGCTCACAAGGTTTCATAATTGTTCCATGTGAGAAGCAAAAAGCGTGAAAAAAAAAACAGGAGAAATATTAGGTTGAATCACTACATTATAACAATTGCTATTTGGCGGCCTGTAACCAGCAGCTGATCTGAGTCCTCCGTTTCCTTGGTGCACCTACGGTCGAGATTGGCTGCTGATCATTTTCGATGTCATCGACTCGCAATCTGGACCGCGATCGTCGCCGGCTTTGAACCTCGCGGTCCAGATTGTGTGTTGATCGTTCTGGAGATGATCGCTGGGCCAGTACCGAATTCACGTTGGACCGGTAGCCCTGGCACGGTAGTGCCGCGTTGGCACTCCTCAGGCCAATTTTTGGCC